AACGAGGCTATCGCTGGGTGACTGGACGAGTCTGGTGACTATGTTTTGTCACTGCAAGAGCGTAAAATAGTCCCCAAACTGGTCCTCAAACGCAACTTTGAAATTCTCCCACATGTCCAGCTGGTTTCCTGCCACGCTTTTCCGATCTGCAGCAGAGCCACGGAGCTTATTAAGTACTACGGCGAAAAGAGTAGACGGTGTCTGTGACGCCAAGCCTTGAGTACGCTCGAGTTCTTGAAGCCACTGGTGAGCTGACATGCTACCATCACCACTAAAGGTTGGCAGAAAGGCCGAAAGGTCGGGCAACGTAGTGACTTGAACTGGAAACGTCGGCCATTGTTGACAACGTCAAGAACTACTGTAGTAGGTCACTCAGCACTTTCGTACTTAAAACCGACTTCTCAGCTGTAGAGTTGGGCCCACTAGATGTTTGACGGTTCCGAGCAATGTTATAAAGCAACCATTCAATCCTGTCTTCTTTCGAGCCAGTCGTCTTCAGGTTACGACGCGAAAGTTCATGACGCATAAAGTCTGCTGTGAACCCGTGGAGGTCTTCCACAGTGGTTTTATTCCAGTTTAAAAGCGGCATTGCGGTCGCTGGAAGGGCGGGCAAGATCGGCGAAGGCTTAGGGCAGGCAAGGGCAGTGAGGTGGGCGGCTAGCACAAAACACCAACCCACACAAAATGGACGAGTTTCTCCGGTTTTCTCGGCCTGGTTCGTCGACGGCTGCACCCAATGTGAGGACTCAGCAACGTAGACAAGGCGATGATATAACAAAAATGACTTTTATATGCAGGAGCCAGTGGCGTAGCCAAGGGGGGAGAAGGGGTTCAAACCCTCCCCCGAAATTTTTCGTCCAACACCCCCTCCCTCTTGCCACCTACTAAACTTATTTTTTATCATCGCTTCACGCTGACATGATTTAGAAATTATAAGCGCTGCTACTATCACAATATCATTGCTGGGTGCTTTTACAATGAATATAGTCTGCATACGGAAAATCGTGTCTCGGCGTTTCTCAAGGCTTCTTATTTTGTGAGGTATTCGGCAGGAATCTCGACAGCAAGCGTTTGAAGTTGGCTCGGCGACAGGAACAATTCTCAAGCGGTGGTCATACTTCTACCCGCCGAGACAGATCTCGCCAGAGCCGATCACTGCGATTATTTTAAATAAGGAGAGGTTCGTTTTATGGAAATAGCCAGGAAGTGGTACTGATGTGTGCAGCACCCCGCTACCTATATGCTAACATTTAGAAGTAGGAAGAGCACGATGAAGGAAAAGATCAATCGAAGTGAAAAAAAAAAAATGTACTGCTTGGCAGCTAACTTGCAGTTATGCACCATGTGGTCGAAATTTCCGGAGCCCTCCACTACGGCGTCTCTCATAATCATATGGTGGTTTTGGGACGTTAAACCCCACAAATCAATCAATTGCAGTTATGCACCAACATATTGTCACTGTTGCCAAATGGTCAATATATACAATTATGTTGGTCCTAACTGCGACTTGTACGAATAATTGAATGTTCTGTATAGAAATAAATCAAAGATGTTCGGCATCTCAGACAAGTCACAGTTAGGACCAACATAATCGCACATAATTGACCATTTGGCACCAGTGACCAAATGTTGGCGCATAACTGCAACTTAGCTGCTAAGCAGCACATTCTTTTTTTACAAGAGCTGTTATGAGATCACAACACGGGTGAAGCGCGGCACTGTAGCTGTCCACCGCCGCCACCGGCAGTGTCCGTAACCAGTCTCGAACGACAAAAAAAAAATAAACTCAGTAAATAAAAAACACCAATGACGCAAGGCAATCCGAACTCAGGCCCACTGCATGCCAACCCAGTTTTATAACACTGAGCCGAGCCAGTACAGTCAAACCCTTTTATAAGAGACACTGACATTAGAGACAATTGGGTATAAGAGACACCAGTGGGCCTACAGTAAAGTACGGGTCAATACAAAAATGCATACGAGATACCCTGCTTATAAGAGACAAGAATTGCTGCCTGGAGCATGCCTTTTATATAGGGATTTAACTGTACCTTCTAAACTTGCCTTAGATAGGCTTGATGTCGAAAAAGGAATCGCATTAATAATATGAGTAATAAGACGTTCTAGGAAATAAAAGAAACAGCCCCGCATGACACAATGCAAGCTGCGTAATGAGTGGGTCGTCCAATTCTCCCACCCATTAGAAAACTTGTTCTTGATCACCTATTACCTATGGCACATACCTACTTCAGGCATAATCCCTCATCAGCCACTGCATAAAAAATTGCACAAAATTATTAACAAGTGTGTAGCAAACATTTTTGCTACTTTGTCGCCACTTGTACACTTTATTTCGCACTGCATATGCCAGAAAATATTTTTGGTCTACAGTAAAACATTTTGACAATATGCTAATGTCAATGTCAACTGTCACATTTCCCCTGATGTTGTCTTTCAGTGAAAAAAATCCCCAATATGGACCATATTCTTCATATTTGAGGCCACTTAAAAAAATATATGAAAGTGTAAAAGCTCGTAAAACGTATTTTCAGTAAAACGCCTACCATTGTTCTAAAGGTGAAAATTTGTTCTAACCTAATTTAAGAACAGATTTTTGGACAAGGTGTTTTACGAGCTATGGTTTCAAACTTTCAGAAAAAAATTCAAATGAGCCTCGCGGTACTGGAAAATTTTTTTTTTGCAAAAATGTTTTGGGGAAACACTTTTGGCTTTAGGTAGATAGTTTTTAAATTTTTTTCAAGTCAATCAGAGATGGTCGAGCGCCAAGGTTGGGACCGTTGGTGTGGAATGACCCAATGCAATTTGTTTGCAGCGCATACATCTTTGTTTGATCTAAAAGAGTGTCACTTCCCGCCTGAACAAGTTTCTACGAAATCGGCAAGTCAGTTTTGGGCACTTTGAATCCTCCTGTGTAGAGACAATCACTCTGATTGGGACATGTCTGTCCTGAATAAATGAATGAACTGGAGCGCTCTGCCATCACTTCCCTCAGTTCTTGAGAGTGGGCGTGCACTAAAGTGTTCTAGGATAAACTGGCAATGTGATGCTAGAAAAGATGGCCAATTAACTAGATGGTAAGACCACGACAGCTGGCCTTTCCAATATGCATTCGATATTATACAATGTAACTACATGAGCATTAACCGTTTGCATTTAAGAAGTCATAAAAATGTTCAAGTACCGTAATTACTCGAATCTAACGCGCACCTTTTTTCCGGTTAAGCGAGTTCATAAATCGCATGCGCGTTATAATTGAGTACAAAAAAAAAAATAATACGGTCATTCTATTGCCATCGACACTTCAAAAATGGCCGCCCCTTATGTGCGTCGACATGGCACGTCAGCCATTTCTGCCAATGTATTTTCCATGTGCGGCACTTCGTACGTGTGCTGAGGAGTTCATCATATCGCAGTGCATTAATATCAACGGCATGAAAGGGCCGACTCCGAAGACTCGACGAGTGCACCACGATGCCGCTTTTAAAAGAAAAGTAATCGCGTGTGCAGAAACGGACGGAAATCGGGCCGCATCGCGGTCGTTCCGAGTTTCTGAAATGTGCGTGCGGGACTGGCGGAAACAGAAGCAGAAGATTGTCGACTGCAAAGCTTCACGTAAAGGCTTAAGTGGACCGCAGCAGGGTCGGTTTCCGAAAATTGAAGAGCTGCTCGCTGAGTATGTGCTTGAACAGCGAGCGGCACAGCGGCCCGTGACGACAGAACTGCTCCAAGTGCGGGCTATGCAGTTAGCCTTGGAAAAAGGGCTAACGCGGAGCCAGTTCAAAGCGAGCAGGTGCTGGCTAAGTAACTTTATGAAAAGGAAAGGATTTCCCCTCCGAAGGCAAACGGGCATATGCCAAAAGTTGCCGGAGGAGTACGAAGAAAAACTTCACAGTTTTCAGAGGTTCGTCCTCAACTTGCGGCACAACAATGGCTACCTGCTTGGGCAAATCGGGAATGCTGATCAGACGCCTCTGTACTTCGACATTCCTGGCACCACAACCACCGAGAAAAAGGGCGCGAAACAAGTTCGCGTGCTGACATCGGGGCACGAAAAAACTAGAGTGACGACAATGCTCTGTTGCACGTCAGATGATCACAAGCTTCCCCCGTACCTAATATTTAAGCGGAAAACGCTCCTGAAAGGAGTCGTTTCCCCGAGTGGTGTGATCGTGCGAGCCAATGAGAAAGGTTGGATGACGACGGACCTGGTCGCCGACTGGATCCATCATGTCTGGCGAAAGCGGCTTGGCGCCAGTTTGGGCCTGCGAGCGATGCTCGCGCTCGACGCGTTCAGGTGCCATCTCGACCAGCGGATCAAGAACAAGCTCGCTGCGTGCAATACGGACCTTGAAGTCATACCCGGCGGCATGACGTCACAACTTCAACCGATGGATGTCTGAACAAGCCGTTGAAGGACAAGATGCGGGCGCTTTACACCGACTGGCTGATCAATGAACGACATGATTTCACGCCAGGCAACAGGATGAAGCGCGCCTCTCTGCAAGACTTCGCTGCGTAGGTGAAGGACACGTGGTGTGCAATACCATCAGCCATGGTGATCAAGGCATTCAAAAAATGTGGCGTCTCGAATGCCATGGACGGTACTGAGGGTGAGATGCTTTGGGCTATTGACAGCGATAAGGAGTTGTCCGACAGCGACGAGGACTGACCTATTACGCGACTCGTAACGCCGCCGTAGTGGTCACAGTTTTAGCTACAGGGCTGGCTGTTTGACTTTGTGTTTTATCTTTTGAAACTTCAGTGCATCAAAACCCAAATACTTGTTCTCAATGTGCAAAAGTTGACTCCTACGGACTTTTTTTTTTCTCTCCCGTCGCGGAAAATGGGTGCACCTTACAATCGATGTCCTACTTTTTTTTTTTTTTGCGTCGCAGAAATCAGGTGCGGTAGAATCGAGTAAATACGGTAGTTGGCATGGCTGCAAGACAAAGTTTACAAGCCAAAAGAATATGCACATACTATAAAACCAAGAATTTTAATTCCCTAAAAAACAGAACATTCTCCAAGCGCATGTAGCAGTTCATATGATGCATATATAGTACAATTCTTTAACAACGACATTAAAAAAAAAGGCATGGAAGCGGTAGCACGTCAACAAGAAGGGGCCCCTTGCCCGCGTCGAAACAGTAGTTCACATCACAGAGCCACCACAGCTCCCCACGCAGGCAGGTGAACCGCACATTTCGGTCGGTCGGTCGAAGGTCAGCATTTCCGGTCTGACACTTCACTCCCACACCGGAGCAGATATTTATATCGCATCGCTATATAGAAGATTATCTTACTACGTGAACATCGGCGACCAAGCGAAAACTGGACTCGTAATACACCTGCTCACGTGGAATTGGCTTTCACGGAGTTCTTTCACGTGAACAATCACAAACGTTGCTCGTAAAGTGAACAAGTTGCAGTGGTCTGACTGGGGTGGGAGTTTGTCGAGATGCCTTGCTCGCAGCTGAGTGGCAGTAGAGTCAGCCAAAACTTGCTCTCTTGTCGAACCCGCCAGCATTGGCTCGAGGCATGCCCGCTTGCAAGGCCGCTCATTATAAATAGATGGAGGGACAGCGATCCCACTTGGACTGCTCCTTGCAGCCCCAGTACTCGTTCTGGTAGACGTGAATCGGGTTGCCCGTCACGGGGTCAGTCTCTTTGCGAAACCAGGCCGGCTCGTGGCCGACATACGGCCGACCTTGGGCGGCGGCAGCCTCGGCCTCGGCCTCGCGTTGTCGACGTGTGGCCCGCTGCTTCTCCTCTAGCTGTAGCTTCACCTGAAAACAGAGGAAGATTTAGGACAACCTCTGCGAGGGAAGTGCCTCGGAGATACTGCACTCTGTTTCCTAGAGTAGAAAGCAACACCCACCTTTTCTGCTAACTCATGCCACTGCTCATGATCATACGGTAATTTCGTCACTACAACAAAATCTGCAGAATCATCACTTTAGTTCATTTTCTCGAAACCTTGTGAAATTAAAATTAGGCTTTTTATCCGTAGTATTGTTTTCAAGACATTAATTTTTCAACAAAAAGTGAAACAAGATAGAATGATATCATAAGTATAAAACCAAACACCAGTACAGTCTCTGAATAATAGCAAGATGGGCGCCTACCTGATTGGCCTCGTCCCAATTGCCTTCCTCCATGAGGCGCTGGTCAGGTCGCCGTCGGCTGTCAGTGGGGGCTACACCATCTTCTGGCTCATTCAACTGGCAAGCTAGCACCGTGAAGTTGTACATACGCTCATACTCCTCCCTGCAAATACAACATGGTTCTTCAAGAAAGACATTTCAGCAGAGGCTGAGTATTGAATTTGCTAAACTAATCAGTCTCACAAGACACATAGTGCTTCAAACTACCGTATATACTCGTGTAAGGGCCGCCCTCGTGTAAGGGCCGCACCCCAACTTTGAAAGCGGATATTTCGAAAAAAAAAAAAACAAAAGTTCAAAATGTCCCGCCAGAAAAGTGTAGTTAGTTCATTTACAGCCAGATGGCGCTGCACGCTTTTCCGCTTTTATTCTACTTCCGCCGACGCGCCGACCACGCTGTTGACAGCGCGCCGCCATATTTGCCTTGTGCGGCCTCTTTGTTGGCATCGTTCCTAGCATCGTGTCGATACGTTGGCAGCGCGACTTCAGATCGGTGTCGTCGGTGTCACTTTGTTGGTTGTAGTGAACCCTGCAGAAGCCAGCGCACGTGACGGACGATGGGCCGGCATCTGAGATCATTCACTGCAGCATTTAAGCTGCAAGTGATTGACTATGCCGAGGAGCACGGGAAGCGGGAAGCTGGACGAAAGTACGACGTCGATGAGAAGCGCGTGCGTTACTGGATGAATCAGAAAGATGCCCTCGCCGCTACTAACAGGAGCCGAAAGGCGTTTCGCGGGAAAAAGTGCAAGTACCCGCAACTCGAAAGCGAGCTCGTCAACTACGTCGTCGACACACGAAGGGACGGCTACGCCGTATCGACTGACATGATACGCGTCAAAGCCCTCAGCATCGCTCGCCACATGGAAATACCCCCGGCACAATTCAAGGCAAGTCGGGGCTGGGCTACGCGGTTTATGAACCGTAACCAGCTTTCTATTCGGCGCCGAACGACGATTTGCCAAAAACTGCCGCGCGAGTACGAAGACCACGTCATTAAGTTTCATCGCTTCGTGAATGCTCTCAGGAGGGAGCATGAATACGACCTGTCCCAAATTGGGAATGCGGACCAGACACCTGTGTGGTTCGATGCACCGGAAAGCACCACAGTGGATTTAAAAGGTGCGAAAAGTGTGTCTGTGCGCACGACTGGTGCAGAACGCCAAAGGTGCACTGTGATGTTGTGCATCACGGCAGACGGCAGGAGGCTTCCGCCGTACGTCGTATTTAAAAGGAAGACTCTCCCAAAAGAGAAGTTCCCTCAGGGAATCGTCGTACGTGCGCAAGAGAAGGGCTGGATGTCCGAGGAACTGGTCGTTGACTGGATTAAGACCGTCTGGGCAAACAGACCTGGAGGGCTGTTACAACGGAAAGCCCTCCTTGTTTTGGACAGCTTTAGGGGCCACTTGACCGACCGCGTCAAGAACCGAGTTGCCGCAACTCGTACGGACTTGGCCGTCATTCCCGGTGGCCTGACGAGTGTGCTGCAGCCGCTCGACGTATGCGTCAACAGACCATTCAAAGTGGAATTTCGCCGATGTTACTCTGAATGGATGGCTGGAGGCGTCCACGAGAAGACCCCTACAGGACGGCTGAAGCGGGCGTCGCTCCAACAGGTGTGTGAATGGATTTTGAATGCGTGGCGTGCCATGTCAGTAGAAGTAGTTGCTAAAAGCTTCAAGGTAACGGGAATTTCGAACTCCATGAACGGCACCGAAGATGACCGTCTCTGGGAAGACGCGGACGCCGAGGCGAGCTCCTCCGAGAACGAGGACAGCGAAATGGAATCCGAATAAAAACATTTCTGGCATGTCATTTGTGACTCTTGCACTCTGCTACTGTTGCATAAACAGTACAGACCTTTGGCCTGTACTGCCTGTACTAAATCGGCCTGATTCGTGTAAGGGCCGCACCTAGCAAAATTTTCGAAAAAAAAGTGCGGCCCTTACACGAGTATATACGGTACATCTTTGTAATCTTCTAATAACTACCGTGTAAATAAATAAAAAACTAATGCAGACATAATGGTCAGACAAAGTTTTGTCTTAAGACACAAGCATTGGCATTGCTAATCTTTGAATCTGCACAATTATCTGAGAAAAAAATTTGAAGCAGCTTAAGGAAGTGCACACAGCTGCACAGCCTGCATTAATTATTTCTTTCTTGATCATCCCCCTATAAAATGGGGTGAAATACTTGTCCATCCGTCCGTTTGTCCGTTTGTCCGTCTCTCTTTTTTGTCTTCATTTATTTCTATTTCTGTCCTCTATCCACTAGCGTTCTCGCTCAATCTCATCTTTGTTCCCTTTATTCTCTCTCCATCTAATTTTTTTATCTTTCTGCTTATCTCCATTTTTTTCTATCGCTTCCTTTCTATTTTTATCTCGCACTTTTATTCTTTTAACACGAAAGTGCTTTATGTTGGGGTCCACCAAGAATCCACCATAGCTGCACTGACCCATTACCATCTAAAATGTGACATTGTAAAATATGTACCAAGAAATCCAAAAAAAATTCCGCCATATCCACGAAGTGAATGATGATGAGTGGGCGAAGCTCCGGAGGTAAACCTGGTAAACCATGAATCCTCTGTACATTTTGCCCACTCGATTTTATTACATCGCTCCCCCTAGCGTACGTCGCCGCACTAAATCGAACGATTGCCTTCAACCAATGACACGCGCCATATGTGACATCATTCCTATTTTATAAGATCTCGCGTCTTTCATCAACTACAAGTACCGCTTTCTAGTTTATAACATCTTGCATCTTTTCATCATCAGCTACAAGTACCACCATCTAGTAAACACTACAAGAACTAAACGAGAGGTGGCTACATACAGGAGACGGTACCGCCATCTAGTGAAAACTGCAAGAACTAAACTAGAGGTGGCTACATACAGGGGACGGTACCGCCATCTAGTAAACACTGCAAGAACTAAACTAGAGGTGGCTACATACAGGCTACAGGGGACGCACAGCCCACGCCCTAAGGAGCTTCGCCCCTAAAAAAAAGAAACTGACGGAAAAGTTCTGTCACGGGTATTCGAACCTATGACTTCTCGCTCTGCAGCCCACAAGGCAAACAGACTCGGCCACGAAGCACAAGTTGATTCTTTAGCAAGCTGAAGAACTAACTGAAGACCAATGGCGAGCTATTAATATGCAGTAAACTTTTGATAAACAGAAATAAATATCTTCAACAAAACTACTGATTAAGAAGAGATACTTCTCGTAAAACTTTTTCTTCAGATATTTGTGACAGCTCAATAAAACTTTCACCAGTTATAGAGTTCAAGCTCCTTTTTTCAAGTCAGCTTTTATTTTTTATGGCACATTTAGTTAATTTTTTGCAGACCATGCATTTGTTAAAACGATGCATTTTTGTGCAAGCTTAGACAACAATAGTAAGCACAAGAAAGCTCTAAAGAATAGCAAATGTTGCTACTAATGAATTGCAGAATTCAATAAAGCAAAGAAACATCGTGTAACATTTGTGTGCTGGCCTAGAAAAAAAATTCCAATGCTGAGTTTGAGTTTTACCATACTCAAGGAAGAACCTTCTGAGATTATCTAGCAGAATATGTTTTGGTAACCTGTAAAAGTTGTTTATTTCAATTCCGGACATGTCAAACTTTCAACATGCCAAGTTTCCTTGCAATCCGACTACGTAGAGCGTACAAATTAAAGTGCACAAGCTCTAAAAATGCGGAAAAATTGGCAACTGAGAAAAAGAGGTATGGAAGTTCAAATACATGTTTAATACTATACTTTTCAACTAATCTGCATGATATTCACGGAGAATGTCAGCAAAGCTATCTTGAAAACGTTGACAGTTTCAGAATAATCCAGCACTATATATTGGACCCTTAAAGCCTCTGCAAGACGCTTCCTCCAGACAGGCATTTTTTTTTTTTTTTTCGGTACTGCGGCGATGGGCTGTTGCTCTCAGGCTCGTGCAAGGTTTTCGGTGGCGGTATGCACTTCTTTTTTGCAAATGGCGCTTCTTGTGACACACTGGCTTTTGAACATTAATGATTGTACAAAACCGCACAAGCTGCTTGTATCCGACGCCGATCGCATAAGGTGCAACCACCGACTTCACGCTCACAGCGAAGCTGTCCGGTGCACTGCCGCTGGCGGACGTCTCCTCGCTTCCACTGCATGACAGATACTCGCCGCTTGACGTGTACGTGGACGAAACAACAGTTGCAGCACAAGCGTCATTTCGATGCTAAGGTTCTGAAAACGATGCCAGTCCTTATAGTCTACTTGCCATTACGCGAATGCACAACTAGCACCACCCTTGGGGCATACTGCGACGCTGAAGAGATTCTGCATCGCATCGGTCTCACAAATAAATGTGCTTCCGTGTTCGCCCCGACACTTGTTTTTGTTGTCGAATATTTTTATCTTTAACCCTGAAGCACTGAGGAAGTCATTGACGCTAGGAATGAAGTTTGAACAATGCAAATCGCTGCTGCCGCGGCTAGGCCTAGCAGCAGATGAACCTCGCGCTGGCACTCACTACTTGCGTTTCGGGCCCCTTCCCTAGTACTGGTGCCGCGTGAAGAACTTCCGTGAACGAAAGTAGCGCTTCTTGGCAGCATCCATGACGCTGAAATAATAACTCAGGCGGTTGTGTTCGTCGATGTCTCGGCAAAAGCAGGAGAACGAAGAAAGCGCTCACATTCAACTGCACGGCGGAATGCTCGCAACCAATGGCAGGGCTCCAATTATACCACGTGACTTTGAAGGCCCACTTGCCACGCTGGAATGCAGTGGAAAAACGAATTTTTCGTTGTATGTTTAGCGTGAATGCCGCTCTGCCGAAATGGGCTCTGGGAGAACAGGATTAGGCCTACATGCCCCCAAAATTTCAAGAGCTGGCGGTGCCGTAAAGTGAAGTCTCACGTGGGTGAAAATCGGGTAATTTCGCACTTTCACGATTGATTGATATGTGGGGTTTAACGTCCCAAAACCACTATATGATTATGAGAGACGCCGTAGTGGAGGGCTCCGGAAATTTAGACCACCTGGGGTTCTTTAACGTGCACCCAAATCTGAGCACACGGGCCTACAACATTTCCGCCTCCATCGGAAATGCATCGCACTTTCACGAGCCACCGCGACTGCTTCAATTGTATTTTTTGATAACTTCCAGTTAATTTTCAGCTTTGATTTGTTAATATATTAAGAAGAAGGCTTGGTGGAACACAAAACACAAAAGAACACAAAATCGGCTTTTTTTAAAAAAATCGCAGTTCTTCGATCCGCATCTCCCCTTAAATGGAACAAGTGCATTTGATAAGATTGGTTTCATACTTGTATTCTACACCCCTGTTCATCACACAGTAAATGAAACTCCTGTCAAATGAAACAAATTTTTCTGGTCCCTTTAAATTCCATTTATTGAGTCTACAGTATACCACTTACCATTGGACGTGTTCAGAGAACTTCAGCCTGTTACTGCTATCAATGGTGCAAAGGGTGCACTTTAAGGTTGTCGTTTCACTTGTTGTGCATGCATCTCAACAAGGTGTGGTCACTCACGTGCACGCGCTTATCTTGAAATCGGGGTGGTTTGTACATCTTCGGCAAGTGTGCACGAAAAGAAGAAATGTAAATTGAAGGTTTGTTAGACAATATGAATGAGCACTAAGAGACAATGATGCACCAGAAGGGATCGAACCTGCCACCTTCGAAGGTCACAGGTTCAGATTTTATTTCTTCACATTTACATTACATCTAATAATGTCCCCTATACTTTCCCTTCGAAGGTCACAGGTTCAGATTTTATTTCTTCACATTTACATTACATCTAATAATGTCCCCTATACTTTCCTTGACATCGTTGCCTGTTAGTTCTCATTAGGATAGCCCAAATGTCGCAACAGCAGCAGCGCTGGCGAAAGGGGTGTGCTGCTCACACACTCAGCGAACACTTGTGACCATTGTTAGGTAAGGCTCGTCCTGTGTATTCTTGTGCATTTATTTTGTGCGTCCTTTGTGTTTGAGCAGAGCTGTGACAGCTGTTAGTTTGCACTAGTATTGAGTTTTGTTTTTGTACATACTTTCTACTCGATGAATGTGCTGCAAGTTTCGAGCATTCCCTGCAGTATTTGATGCACAGACTGTGGTGAAAGCTACGTCAGATAGGCAACCTTTCACAAGGACTCAAGCAGCACATATATGATAAAAGAAAAAAAGGAACTACTATCAAACATGCTGTCCAAACATGCAGAAGCAACTTGCCACAAAATAGACAGGCGTAAACCAAGGATAATGGGGAAGAGAAAAGAACTGGACATCTCAACGTTATTTTAATTCTTCAAGAGTCCAGACAATATTATGTGGGGTTTCACGTCCCAAACCACCATATGATTATGAGACTCAGCAGTGGAGGGTTCCGGAAATTCCGACCACCTGGGGTTGTTTAATGTGCACCTGCATTTGAACACATGGGCCTACAGCATTTTTGCCTTTGTCGAAAATACAGCCGTCAAAGCCGGGATTCGATCCCCCAACCTTCGGGTGAGCAGTCAAGCGCCTAATTACTAGACCACCACGATGGAGTCCAGACAACGGCGAACACACTTAATTGCAATGACGGAAACTTCCATACGTGTATCCACGTTGCTATGTCACATTTTAAAAAACACATAACCACACTGTCTGTGCTTTCGTTTTGCATTTCTGAACAAGACTTCCGAGCGGGAGCAAAGATGTTTGCGTTTCATTCGTGAATGGCATTTATTTTAACTATGCTCACCTGAGGTTCGTTTAGGTCACACCTAAATGTAGTACGAGTACACGGGTGTTTTTGCATTACACCTTCAACAAGATGTGGCTGCCATGGCACGAACCAAACCCACAACCTCAGTCATGGCAGTCCAACACCACAGTAGCAGTGACACTAGTGTATTGGCATCCAGGCAAGGACAAGATACTACATCAAGATCCAGTCAGATTACCAGCAGGTGGGCAATGCATTGTAAGTGCGCAGGCTGTTATGCTGCACGTGTCTTGAAGGAACAATGCCACTGCGGCGTTTGCCAACAGTTTCTCCAGATACACTGACAGAAAAACCTGGGTTCTCCGCTGCAGTGAAGTAGCGATTACGGTGCTCAGCTGCTGATCCAAAGGTCACAGGTGTTCGATCTTAGCCACAGCGTTCGCATTGTACTGTGCTATGTCGGCGCACGTTAATGAACACCCGGTGATCAAAATTTCCAAAGCTCTGCACTACAGCCTCTCTCAATCATATCTTAGTTTTAAGATCTCAAAACCCCTGATATTATTATAACACTATGCTCTTGTTAAACAGTACCAGAAGGAACCAGAAAAATGTGTTTTGTTCAACAGTAGTTACATTTATTCAGACAATTACAGGGGCTTGGAATGCAAGTACAAAACAGATCATATAAGAGGCAGTTGTTTCATTTATTCAGTTTTGTTTATTGGGAGTCTACTGTATTCTTATCATTACATTTCTGGCTTTACCATGCATGTTACTTTTCTAATGTCACATGTTTGATGGGCTAGCCTATTTTGACTTCAAATAAGCCTAAAGTGGTTCTGACTGTTGAGATGAAATAATTTAGGCAGCTTTGCACTAGTTTTAGCTTTCTCAATATACATTTTGATATTTTCATTGTTCTTTTTCTTTACGTCAATTATGGTACAAATGCTCAACTTTCATCTGTGCAATTTTTCCTTTTTTTTTTTAGGTTAACTATGGTACAAAGGCTCAACTTTTATCTGTGCAGTGACTAATTAAGATTTCACCTGAAAACCGCTTTCAGAGTACACTTCTTGCATATTATGACACCTGTTCATTTGAATATACTCCCTTTCTGCCTAACAGCTTCTTTCTAGTGTATTCAGAAACAAGAGATATGCAGTATTGCTTATTTTTTGGCCTCATGAGAATACAAGAAAGACTATTGCCTAAGTGAAATCAATATTAAAATCCAAAACAACTCAGTTTATTTTCATCATGTCTCGCCATAAAATAGCAGGAACATCTACACAACTCTCCCTCGACCAACTCTCAAAAAACTTCCAGTCATCGGCAACGAAAAAAGAACTTGAGTGCTGCATGACCCACTCACCCAGGCAGGCGGCGTTTCCACACAGGCCGTGGACTGGCAGACTCAATCACGGGCCGGCTTCCCTGGCTACCAGTCGTGGACACGACGCGTGCGTACTCCATCTGGCTGTCCCAGGTGCCCTGCAGCACCCAGACCGGGTTGCCATCTGGGTCCGACACAAAGCCCGTCACACGCCGGGGGGGCTCACGGGAGAAGTACGAGTACGGCTGGAACTTGAGTCGGGCCACATGACCCTTCTGGTGGTTGCGAATCTCCATGTCCCCCTGGTGGTCCACCCAGAGCTTGCCCACTATGATGTTGTGCACCACAGTGGTCACCTTGTGCCACGTGAAATGGCCGCCCCGCACCAGCTCCAAGTGCACCACTCCCAGCGGCACCACCTGTGCCACGCCACACCACATCTGTCTCAGAGCCAGCTGGCAAATAACCCCTGCTGCTCCAGATGCCTCTACAGACCAGTATGTTATGTAAAAGAAGAAAAAATTGGGGCAGCTAGCGGTGCTCAAACAGAGCCCTCCTCATCCCCTTCAGTTCCCTCCCTCTTGCTGCACTATGCTATGCTCCACCTGGTTAGCCAAGAGGTTACAGCACTCGCCTTCAGATTGTAAACCATCATCAGCCTGACTACACCTACTGCAGGGCAAAGGCCCCTCCCAAGTTTCACGAAGCAACCCAGACCTGCACTTGCCATTCCCTGCAAACATCTTACATCAACTCTGCCTACTTACCATCCCATTTCCCTGTCTTGTTTGCCTTCTCTTAAAATGCAGTCAGCTACACTTCATGACCAGCGCTATTCACCCTGGCAGTTCTATTTCTTCTTAACTTCAACGACAATGCTGTTAACGCTTGTTTGTTCCCCGACCCACTCTACTCTCTCCTTCTACCTTAAAAGCCAACTGCAACAAAATTGCACACACCGCAACAAGCCGATTTATAGGCACTCTAGCTGAAAACAATGCTGCCTGCCAAATTTCCCTTTCGAAATGCAACTAGTTACCCCCCCCCCCAAAAAAAAACACTCGGCAACAATGCAATTTTCGATACAGGAACTAAAAAAAACAACGCCATTACAGATGACCGGAAGTCAGGAAGACAGCAGCTCAAAAGACCAACTGATGCAGGCGAAGCGTCTCCTCTGCGTTCCGAAGTATGCACTTTGATGCCACGCCCCAGAGTTTTCTCTTGAAATAATAACATGCACCGTGAAGGATACACATTGCAAAAGCTCGTTAAAGCCCGTAACTTAATAATGGCTGCCCACTTGGCGCCTACCGTCTTGTCCTACTGTCTTGGTTAAGTCACTGGTTCACAATGAATGATGCTCCTCACTTACGCTTCCAATATTCTTGCTTTGTTGATAGACTACGAATGATGAGATGACATTGTTTTCAATACTGATGCTCGCTCTAACACACTACCATGTCTACCAAAAGAATCTCTACATATCTGTTAACATGTCTGACTGCCCCCCAAAACTTGTCCAAATGCCCCCCAAAAACTTGTCTGACTGCCCCCAAAAACTTACATTAAACCTATCACAGCATAATCAGTTTTCTTAAGATATGTTTATGGCATTAAATTGCTTTGAACTGAGCACGACAACACTTCTGTCGAAGTTTGCTACTTTGGCTCTTCGCAACTAGAAGCAAGCCAGTCAGCTTTAGAGCTTTGATTACACGATCACAGACGGTGCAGCTAGTCTAGCACTTTGCGGTGTGTTGTTTTATAGTTTTTTAAATGCGAATGCATTTCTTAGTCTGACTATGTCAGGCATCCGTCCGGATCCGTCCACCACTCTGTCCCATAGCAATAGCTGCGGTGCACGCTAGCTTCTAAAACTGGAAATGCATACCGCGTTTCGCTTTACAGGAAAATGTCACGTGTGGCGAACGGCGCTATTGTTTGCACGGTGCAAGTAAGAAAAAAAATATATTTTTAACGCTGTGTTCTCACGTGCGAAACACCATTATTGACACTACGCGATGCATTCACATTTCTTCATTGTTCCCTTTGGCGAGGTGGGGACTTTTTTTTTCTGAAGTAGCGTTGTGCTGATATTTAGCGAACATAACACACTATTGCAAATATTTTACGCTATATTAAAGCTGTAGAATACGAATACATGTCTTCGCCGGTGCTTCTCTAAAATCCGGTCGGGCCTTCCCGCTGTTGTGTTGGCTGTGGCTGAATGTTGAAGGCACTGCATCAGAATTCAACATCCTTTTCAGTTTCAGCAGTATTTTGGCGGAGAGACAATGGTCGTGTTTATATTTGTGATCACTGAAGTGTGCCGCGTAAAGCACCACGCTCTTCAATACATCTCATTCTTTTCACCTCACTCTGATAACCCGCCATTTTTGGAGCTTCATGTCAGTGGGTGTGGAAGCACAGCAGTGATGCAGCCGCTTCAATCGCCATTCTGTTTTATCGTGCAGGTAGATTGTCCCTTTTCACTGAACTGTAGAAAGTCAAGCGATCATTGTTTACTAGTACATCCATGCCCACACGTATTGTTTTATCTTGGTTGCGAGTGTGTACATTTAGCGGGGTTACTGTTTCTAGCGGGTGATGTGGAATTGAATTCTGGGCCACCCAAAGAAGAGACAAGCAAAGGAGCACAAAGAACTACTTTCCTTGATAAAATTCCTGCATAAAAATGGTGACGCGAATCACAGTGAGGTTATGGCTTCTCTAGACGCCATCAAAGAAGTGCAAAGTTTACTTGAAGAAAAAATTTGTGACATTCACAACAGGCTTTCTTTGGCCGAGGACAGTATGCGCTTGAGTGGTGAAAGTTCGAGTGTGGGAGTAACACCAGCACTGGCAGTGTTAGGTGACCAGCTGAATGAACTAGAAGATCGCTCCCGACGCGATGTATCTGGTCCCGGGTATATCGAACTTGAATATATCGAATTATTGGCTACATCGACCGGTCGAAAAATCCCCTTGAAGAACACATGTTAAAGTATAGGGCACAGGTGCACGTATACCGAACACTTGTAGGTTGACAGATTCAATATATCGAAGGTGCGCCGCGCCAGAACTGTGACACTGATCACAATTCAGTGTCGTTCCAAAAAATTTACGAACCCTTTTCGTGGGCGCGTCGAAAATGTGATCGCATTGCTTCAATAAGTTCGCACAGCACTTATTCAGTCGCGTTTCAAAAGAATTATGGATCCTTATTGTGTGCACATGCGTAGAGAATGTGACTGCGTTGCTTCAATAATGGCGTATTTGGTTGACCGCTCTGGTCCTCTGGCTTACACTCACCAGATGCAGAAGCAGCTCAAAATCAGAGAGCGAGAGGCAGCGTACGAACCGAATACATCAGCAATCTCAGAGCACCCAGAGCAGCTAAAGCGTGCCTATAGCACTACAATGCAGCCAGTGCGGGAAGCTGTCGGGTAAACAGTGCTGATCAGTTCAGTGGATATCTACAACATGTTTGACCTTTCCTATATTTTTTATTTCGCTCTCTTCGACATTTCTGGATGTAGCGAAAGCCTTCTGAGCTCAGCACATAAATTTCACGATTGTACTCGTCCGAGCTGCTACCTTCAAGGCAAATCACGGGGCTGCCAGTAAGCTGCTGTAACAAAAGCATTGACGTTTGCACCGCCTTCGCTAGCCACCTCATTAATCGACATGGTGCGTTTACGGCTTCGTAGATGTGAATTCACCCCACACACGCTCAAAAAGGCCACTAACAATGCACGTGCACGAAGTACTATGTGCCCGACCATGCCCCCTTCCGAAATGCACGCTCACGCGCGCTCCTCACCTGGTTCACCTGCCGGCAGCCACGTGATTGGCCGGCTTGAGTCACGCGATCCGTTCTCCCAGTCAGATCGTGCCTCATTCTAACTTCGAAGTCGAAGCCGTTGGGAGCGCTCTGAGTCAGAGGCTGACGCCTGAAAGAACCAACCAAAGGTAGGTAGTCCGAGTGCTCGAATTCTACCAACCGAAGGCGCAGCCACATTTCAGAGCCCTCCAGAGCGCTCGAAAATGCCCAACCGAATACGCCATAATTTGCACAGCGCTCGCGAGCGCACCTGTTTGCCTGGTGTGGTATTCAGCTTGCAAGGTGTGGTAAAGCATTTTTCAATAAGTATGCCAACAGCTTGAACTACCAAATAAAACTTACACGATAGTCTGCACTGACTGCTTTGGCACAATGTGCATTCTCAAGGTAATCCCGCACTCTGGCATGCAGTCCCCAAGAACACAGCCGTTGGGATCTGTTTCCATCAACGCCCTTTGCAACAGTGGCTATTTCCGATCTCAAAGGCCATGCATTTGCGAATTGTCCACCCCTGGCGGTCCTTCTTTCCATTTTTTTTTTTTTTTTTTTTTTTGCTGCTTGTTTAAAAAAGCCCAAGTTGCATTGTCACCAAGAGAGCATGTTTCAACAAGAGTAGGACCCCGTTGCAATCGTTGCTCTTTTGTTTGTGTTGTGCTGGCTTAGTGTTCTGTCACTGGCTCGCCGCTCTCACGTTTCCGACTTGTGCGCAGCATTTCTTGGCCCTGGTATCCATAGACGCGAAAAAACGTAAAAACTTAGACTTGGGGACCAAAGCCGACATCATTCGGCGAGTGAAGGTAGCAGAGAAGAAGTCGATGGTCACAGAAGCTATCAGCATTCCTCGGAGCACACTGAGCATGATTCTCCGGAACAAAAGCCGATGTAAAGGCGCGGGCTGCCCAGTCATGCCATTCTAAGGCTTGTCGCGCGCGTGATCCTGCATACGACAACATTGAAAAAGCGCCGTACGCGAAGTTTTTGGAAACCAGGACGAAAAACACTTTCGTTGGTGGCCCGATGCTAATAGACAAGGCGAAGTGGTTCGCTGCAGCCTTGGGGCTGGACGACTTTACTGGTGGCACCAGTTGGCAGCAACGCTTCAAGAATCGCTATGGCATTATTGGGAAGACCTTCTTCGACGAAAGTGGCGCGACAAAGAGCCAGGACATGAAGAAGTGGCTCTCCGAAGAGTGGCCGAACATTCGAGACAGCTTCTCGCCGTCGGACATATACGCCAACGAAACGGCGCTCTTCTGGCAAATGTTGCTGAACAAGACTTGGGATCTTAAAGGGACCTCTTGTCATGAAGGAAAAATGAGCAAAGTGCACGTCTCGATCTTGCTCGCGACGAACATGGATGGCTCTTGCAAGCTGCGGCCATTCCTTATCGGCAAGAGCAAGTCGCCGTGATGCTTCAAGAACGCAAAGAGCCTTGTGGTCCGATACGCGTTCAACAAAAAAGCATGGATGACGCAAGACCTCTTTTCCAAAGGAATGCGTGCATGAGATGCCGAATTAGAGAAGGCAGACTACAATGTTTGTCTTCTGGCAGACAACTGTTCAGCACATCTTGTGGTCAGACATCTCAAAAGGATCACAGTCAAGTTTTTGCCGCCCAACACCACGGCGAGGCTTCAGCCTCTCAAACAAAGCCGCATTAAATTTTTTAAGTCAGATACAGGCGACATGTGGTGCAGAGGTTCCTGATCAACTTTCAGTGATGGGTCGAACTTAAAACCGATCTCGTCGGAGCGATACAAATGGTAACCGGCGCTGTTAAGGTTGGAAGAGGAAGGTCGCTGGAGTATACGAGAAACAAAACAGGTTTATGGCACCATTTACACATATTTACAGCAAAGAAAGCTTAGGGGTTTCCCAAACCACGAGCGTGGTGGTTGAACGTTACATAGTTCAGAGCGACGTCCAGCACTCTGCGGCGTCGTTTTAAACCCTGTCGGGCTCCTCCTCTCCGAGTGGAACACCAATCACACACACACAACAGGTGAGGGGGACGAGCATGCACGGTCCACGTGAACATCCAATATTGAGCCGCGAACACTGCACTGAAAGTGGCACCAGCAGGGCTCTTCCTCGTCGTGTGTGTGCCGCTAGTCGAGAGTTCCCACGATCCTGACAGCATACATCAAAGGATCCGCCGATTTGTTCGCTCAATTATCGGGGCGATTTGCGGCGGCCGCCACGGTCTCTTCCAAGGAAGATGCTGTCTTTGTTGTCCTCTCTGGAACTGTTTACGATGTCGTGGCGACACGACGTCTCATGCTCCGGCGAGCAAGGACAATGCCTGGCGGGCATAGGCAGTCGGCCGGTCGGCTACTCGATTGAGGATTAAAAGAGCGCCGCTCGCCCGTCAGCTCTGGCGCCGGTCACGCCAGCTTCCCCGTCGCTCGATGAGTCGCCGAGGGCATCAGTCACCGCTTCTGCTCGAAGAGACGACAAAAGGGTCTGTAGTTGAAAGTCAGGAACTCGCCTTCGCTTGTCACATGGTCTGGGTAATTACTCAAATCTTCGACAGCGTCTGGCAGACTGGGTGCCGAAGGGATTGAGAGCCTCTCCAGTGGACCGGCTTACGCACCATGACCTCTGCCCAGATGAATTTCCAGGCCAAACCTAACAGCGCATGGAATGGAGCCAAACAAGCCACAATCGTGAACTGCTTCGGTAAAGCTAGCCTTCTAGCTACATCTGACGACATTGGGAGTGACGGCGATGTCACAGCAGACGACGACGGAGAGTGCTTTGAGGATGAATTTCACCAGCTTTCTGCGTTTCCTGGTGCCATCGCTTATGGGGCAACAGCGAGCGATTTCGTCAGCGCTGATGATGATGTGCAAGCCGTTTCGGCCCGCACCGGCGACCCGTACCGATGCAGAAATCGTGGCCGACGTCGCCAGTGCCGATGAGGCTGACCAGAGCAGCGACGATGATGCCGACGACGCTTCGACGCAACCTTGGACCGCTGCAGAGCTTGCGTCGGCATTTAGCTTTATTTGCCGCTGTTGTGGTGCTATGCAAGGCCCTGGGCTTGCCTATGTGGAAAACCCCAACAATATTGAGGATGGCCTCATGAATTTAATAGCTCAGACAAAGAAGCAAGCCAAGCTCACAGATTTATTTCGGGCCAAATAAAGTGCAGTGGATTTCGTGTTTTTCTTTTGATATTCTGGGAAAGTCAGCAAGTGGAAGCTTAGCACGGTCTTTATAAACCGCTCCGAGACTTGCAGCACTTCAAGGTAACCCTTAAATCGACATTATATTTCGAATTATCGATATATCGAACTATTTTGCGATCCCCCTCGAGTCCCTTATTACACGTCACTGAAGACACTGCCTCCGAAACATGGACCCAGTGTGAAAAAAAAAGTATGCAGTATCCATAGTAGAGAGCTGAATCTTGACCTGAGTGACGATGACGAACGCATATCTCACGTGCACAGGTTGGGAAAATACATGCCAAAAAAATTCCAACCTGTCGTAATTACATTCGCATCTTTCAAACTACGCGAGAGCATCTTGGTTGCTAGAGCCAAACTCAAGGATTGTGGCGGCTCAGTTAACGAAGACTTCTGTGCGACTATGAGGAGTGTGCGTAAAAAGCTTGAGTATGGAAAGCAAGCAAATAGCAGTTCTCAGCATATTATAAGAACTTTATATGAACAAAAAGTGCTTTGTGTACTCGTGAACAACCGATAGCATCTGTGAATTGGAACCCGGTAGAGACGAAAGCGGGCACGACTCTCTGTCTGCCCTTGCGTCTACAGAGGCCGTTGCTTGTCTTAGCTCAAATGTCAAATGATGCGAACCCGGTTTCAGCTAGCGCATCGTTTCTACTATCAAATGTCAGAAACATAATCGATAAGCGAGATTCATTATTGGCTGTCATCGAGTTGTGTTTCACAGATGTTGTGGCGCTCACTGAAACGTGGCTTTCTCCACTGTAACCAGTAGGGAACTATTTGATTGCGAAAAAAAGTACACCGTCTATCGCTGCGATTGTAGTAACGGAAAAGGGAGACGTGTGCTCATAGTGTCAGCCGATAACCTAGAGTCACACATGATACCAGTGAATACTTCCTTAGAACTAGTTCTGGGTGTCAGAAGACGATTCAAATCGGGAGAATATATTAAAGATGGTGTAGAGACTTCTCGCATTATCATTATCATTTGTCTCCGAAACCTTGACACTACTACAAAAGCTGCTAAAGGGAGGGAGGGGGGAAGAAGGGCAATATTAATGGGTGTTTTATCTTACACGGCATTCGCTAGAATAACCAGGCTTCAAGGCCAGTATGTTTCTTATTCTTCATCCTTCTCTCGTGTGGCAACCTAGGTGAACGCATACCAACTTGTTGCGGCTTCCATTTATGTACGAACAATGCCTCTCAAGCAATGTGATACCCTTTATAATGCACCCATCAAAAATTTTGATTAATCAATTGAAACATCACATAAAAAGTGATTAATCAAATAAAGGCTAAAGAATTTTAATTGACTATCTCCACCATTTTTACACCAGTTTGACACAAGAACAGGGCAGTGCTCACCTGCAGGTACTTGCCGCGGAACTTGCTCGACATGGAGAATTCTTGCCAGCACCGCCAGCCACGACCCTCACAATGCTGAGCCAGCATCGGTGGGTGGTGGCTCACCTACAGCACAACAAACTCATGTAAGCGAGACATGCCATGGCCATGTGCGTGTGCTCTTGCAGCGAATTCACTGATTTGAAGTGAACCCCATAAACTCAAAGCTAGACAGGTCGAACATGTGCTTACAACACTTCCCTGGTCTCTCTCTTTCACTGGCCAAGTTAGTGTTGGTACGTACAGTCTCTAGAAAGCCGAGCAGAATTCTAATGATGTTTGTGCGTTCAACTATTATTAACACTGCGCTGCGTGCTTTAAGCTGACGAGAGAAAAGCAGATCCTGTTCAACATAGAAAAAAAAAAGCCAACTAGCAGTTTGATATAGGACTATTTCCTATTAACTTAATACAGAATTGGGCAACCTAAAGCCCATACTATATGAAAGCACTCATGTTCCTTGCTTCAACGCCTGTTATCTTGTATTTGCATAGTATAAGAGTACATAAACCATCATGTTAATTTCCCCCCAGCACACAGCTTTCGGCCACCTCCTTGCTTGCTGGATCATATAGTTGGCACTACAGCTCGCTACAGCCACAGAAAAAAGTCATTGCAAAAAAGTTGGCTATGAAAGACACTTGGTGATACGAATGAAAGGTGAATAGTTTGTTTAACTTTGCTAGACACAACCTTATCGGGGAAATGGCAATAAAACTCACAGTTGAGATAGCTTGTGGGATCAATTCACATGAAGATGCATACACAGTCTATGCTGCATATGTACAACTTGTCAAAATAAGAAAGTTTGATACATCATGTCATTAGATAAAACACTTATAAAGTATCTACCACATTTTCAATTTGAATGTCAGAGTGCAAATTTGCTTCATGGCCCTCTGATTCATGGTATTGGAAGGAAGGCAGCTTCCCAACAATACTCTCTCATTTTCACTCTTTTTGTCGGTGGCAGTGAGGGTTACATGCAGGGCCAGGTTATACACAAAAAAACAGAGTACTATCAATGTACACAGAGCTTCAACATCTCCATATGCAGCTGTGTGTACTCGTTTGGTGCCGGAAGCCTTTATTCTGCTTTGACCCTTCTGTCGGCCTTATTTTTCAGTCGCACTGAGCGCGCTCCTAGAAATGCTCTGCTCAGCAGTGAAGTCGTATGTCTCCACAGTTGACTGTGATGATTGTCGCCAACTTTACAGAGAAGAGCACGCCCTTCTGTTCCACAGCAACCATTACGTCAACCAAGCGGGAAGAGGTCAATCACAAAAGGGTGAACGACAACGAGGAGCTGCGATAGAGAACAGTTTCAAGGCTGCAAACATTGTATAAAAAAAACGTCTGGTACCTCATTTACCAGCTCCTAACGTCGAAACTGAAAGCACGTTTTCAAGTTCTTTTTCCAAGAGTAAAAAAAGTAATTGCAATATTGATATGTGGGGTTTAACGTCCCAAAACCACCATATGATTATGAGAGACGCCGTATTGGAGGGCTCCGGAAATTTAGACCACCTAGGGTTCGCATGCTGCACCCAAATCTCAGCACACGGGCCTACAACATTTCCGCCTCCATCGGAAATGCAGCCGCCGCAGCCGGGATTCGAAGAGTAAGAAAAGTATCTCTTTCGTTTTTTTTTTTTTTACATACAAGGAACGTGCGTAAAGGAATCTTTATAACTTTTATATAGCTAAAAAGAGCAATTATTTGAATATATTTTGCTAAATAAGCGAAGGAAACTGTAGAAAATCAGCGGGCTAAATTATAGAGCTCTTGTTGTCCACCGATGCTACAGTAGACTCCCAATAAACGAAACTTAAACGAAAATGCCTCATTAACGGAACTAAATGGGATCATATGGCTGGATTTCTATGTGTTGCGTAGTAAAATTCTTCGGTTAATCGAAACAGTGCTTACTGGTCACCTACGGTTAAACGGCACAAACTCTAAACACAGCATAGACTCACTCAGGCCAAAGGTAGTATCACAACCATGGCAACACTTTGAGACAAGCCAATTCAGTAGCCATTTTCGCTTGTGGTGGCTGTGGGAGTCGAGTTGGCTAGTCAGTTGTGTGTAAGGCCTATTTGTGCAGCTAAGTGAGGTAGATCCCGGTCTTATTTCAGCCGGATGGACAGGAAGCGGCCGCACCATGCACTCTAGCTTGAAAAAAAGCTGCAAATTCTTCAGAAGCTAGATCAAAGTAGCCTGCCCAAGACGGAGGTGGCGAAAAAATACATCTCGAAATCACCATCTATGCGGATGCGAATGCGGACGATGCCTTATGAACAACTCGAAAAAGTTCTTTTTCTGTGGTTCAAGCGTGCACCGAGTTCCCAATTTGCCCATAAGCGGACCGATTCTCGACCAGAAAGCTCGAAAGATCGCCATGTAAATGGATGTCGAGAACTTCGTCCTAAGCGACGGATGGCTCAGCCGCTTCAAAACACCCCACGGCCTAGTCTTCAAAGCAATCTCAGGCGAGAGTGCTGCAGTCAACGGGGACATTTGCACCGACTGGCAATAGGCACGGATTAAGGAAATTTCGATGAGCTTTGAGCCACGAGACGTCAACGTTGACGAGATGGGTCTTTTTTATAAGGCGCTTTTATCAGACTCTCACCTGCAAAGGTGAAGCCTGTAGTGGAGGAAAACACAGTAAAGATTGCATCACTGTGCTGGTGGGTGCGATCATGGCAGGATATGAGAAATTGAAGCTGTTGGTAACAGAAAAATCAAGGCACCCACGTTGTTTCAAAGGCGTTTGACACCTTCCCGTTGCGAACCATGCGAACGGAAGAGCGTGGATGACCATGGCCGTTTCGAAAACTGGCAATGGGAGGAAGACGCAAGATTTACGGGGCAAGGCGGGAAGGTTGTCTTCATCATGAATAATTGCCCAGCCCACGGTCAGGTTGAAAGACTCCAAGCCATCACTCTGGAGTTCTTGCCAGCCAATGCAACAGTAGCGATCAAGCCGATGGATCAAGGAGTTATTCAGAGCATTAAAGTTCATTATCGCAGACAATTGCTCCATCGAATGCTGCTTTGTGCAGGCAGCGAGAAATGCAGCAGCATAGGTTATTTGCCAACTATCCACATTTTGGCTCGTGCCTGAGAGCAAGTGAAGGCAACAACAATACACAGATGCTTTGATCATGCTGGCTTTCAAGTTATGGGCAGTACCAGCGCACAAACTCATGGGACAAAGAGAAGAGACACAAACAAGCGCTGACTCTCAACTGAAGAATTTATCGAAATATACAAGTTATCTAAACACATAGGATAAATGTGCACAGAACATGCGCAGAGGGACAGCGAACATGCGCAGAGGGCCATATTTCAATAAATTCTTCAGTTGAGAGTCAGCGCCTGTTTGTGTCTCTTCTCTTCGTCTCGTGAGTTTGTGCGCTGGTACTGCCCATAATGTATCACCACCTAGCCCAACTATCAGTCCTGGCTTTCAAGTGCAAGAAGCAGTACCTGATGAAGAAGAAAGCCCTGCTAATGCCGACATTGATGCAGTATTCAGTGAGGTCGTGCCGTCTGCCCCTTTCACGCTGCAGGACTACGAATCAATTGATGAAAATGTTCGTACGTGTCGTAAGGAGACTGTCGAGGAAATGATTGTCGAAGTGCAAAATGAGGATCAACAGTTCAGCGATGAATGTGATGACAATATTGCCAGTGTAGTGGTGCCACCAGAACAATCAGCTAAAGAGGTTGTTGAACGTTTGCAGTGCTATTTTGAGCATGCGGCTTGTCCAGAATTTTTGGCTAGTTTTTCAAACATGGGTGCGTACCTTGTGAAAAAACAACGCAAGCTTGCCAAACAAACCACCCTTCACTCCTTTTTTTCTCCTACTCATCCTCATAAGTAAAGTGAGCTTTGTGCAGTTTGATTAAAGTTTTTCATTCACTAAATGAGTGTACTTTGCTTAAATGAAACTTCTGATAAATGGAACAGTTTTATGGATCCCTTTCGAATTTCGTTTAAGAGGGGTCAACTGTATTATGGCACATCAGTGGACAAAACCGGATGTCATCAAGGGCCTGTGTTTTCAAAGAGTGAAAGGGTCTATACTGTCGAGTGCTCCTCAACTGAAAAGGAAGCCCTGTCTGCCTTTTGCTGGACAAAGGAGTATGAAGGGATATTCAGGTAGGAGGCTGCATGGCTCAATCCGCATCTGTGAACTTTTAATATAAGGGCGTGGTCACGAGTGCTAGCAAGTGCTAGTGCGTTCGCTCTTTCAGCAGGAATAAGCAAATGGCTCGTTTACCCTTCCACATGATATGACACCACTGTAAAAAGCCTGTTTTATTTTCCCGAAAACAGCCGTATTCCCATATACTTGTGTTTCACAGTTCCGTGTGTTCAGATGAAAAAGAGTTAGCTGCACCCATAGTTCATTATGGGGCTGGGAGCTCCTATCGCACGGTGTAAAATGTGAAGTCTTCGAAGGGTTTTCCGACCATAGTACTGTTGCCTCAAACTTGGCGTGTTCTCCTCGAAGACCCGAGATCAAAGCTGTTTTGAACTTTCTTAACGTTGATGAAACTTCCGTACTGGACACTTTAGCCTCATCTTTTGAGCAATTTAAATACTGTACCAAATTTTGCAGTGTAGATAAGCTCCTTCTTGAGTTTTGTGACAATGTCTATCAAAATGTGGGCCACACAAAAATGTTAAGTGGAACCCCTGACACCCAAGCTACCATAAAATATTACCCAATTCACTCGTCGCATAAAGCACTTACGTAAGAATCGTCATTCCGAGTGTAATTATAATGCTTCTTGAGTTGACGCATTGAAAAGTAAATAGAAGCTAAAATCAAGAGACAAGCAACTACTACCTTAGCTATGCCTGCGCTCCACTTATGAAAAAAAAAAAACAAAAAAACATCCAGGTCCTAGAGGTCGATTACTTCTGCGTCGTCTATGTTCTCATTGTTTATTCTTGATGGCAAATTCTCAAATCCGGAAGCTATAGCAGAAGCTTTTAATAATTACTTTGAATCATTTTTTTTTTCTACCGCTAACGGCATCTCTCTTC